ATTGAATGGAAAAATAATGGATTTCTTTTTACTACATCTAATATATATATATTCCAATCTTGTAAACTGTATGCCAAATTTTTTTTCAGACCTAAAACGCAATTCTAAGAACTGAAATAGTAAGTATCAAATAAATTAATAAGTAATTGAATAATATTGATGGTTATAGACATCTTTATAATAATCTTTAAACACTTTAAAATCTAATAAATATAATTTTATTGCGAAAAATATTATCTTGCCGAGGATTAAACCCGGATCTCACTCATTCGGTACGAGCATCATTACCGTTAGATTCTAAAGCTTTAATAGTAATTAGTAAATAAAGGAGTTACCATTTCATTACTTTTTTCGTTGCTTTTTATAATAACAGTTTGATAATAACGTTACAATTTCTTATAATCATAAATATCATAATGATAAGTTGATAATTAACTAAACACTGAGATTGCGCTAAGATTAGGAAAGTCACTTTGAAAAGTAAAATTTGCATCACTTCGCATTTACTTACTAAAAAAATTAACAATTTGTAACAAATTACTTTACTTTATTAGAAATAACAACTAAAAAGTAATGAGTTACAAGTGTCGAATTAATTTTTTTTTTTTAACGACTTTTTCAATTCAATTGTAACATCGTGATTTTCCAATCCTGATATTACCGTTACAGTTATAAAAAAATTTGTTATTGCCAAATTATTATTATAACAGAATAATGATAAAGAAAATAACTGCGTTACGAGTAACTTGTTACTTCCATTTCTTGTTAGTAATAAGTATGTATTTCCTGTTAGTTAAGTATTCTTCGTAATAATATGTATACTGGTGTTCCGAATTCAAATGTCAAAACTTCGAGAATATAAGAGAAAAAATCGATAAACTAAAAAAAAAACTTCCTTAAAGATATACTTGTTTTGCTTCGTTTTGTGTGCACGCACGCGCGCGCGCGCGCGCGCGTGTGTGTGTGTGTGTGTGTGTGTGAAGAAAGATACCTATGAAACATCAACTTATTACAAAGATACCTATGAAACATCAATATTAAACACGAAGAGAATAGATAAAATAGAGCAATAGGAGTCAGGCGTGGCAATTGTTGCGCAAAACAAACAATGTGGATACACACAAAATTTTTATCTCCTATTGCCCTATTTTATCTATTTTCTTTGTGATTAGTAAGGAGTCTTTACGAATTTACTTATATTTAACGTCAATACTATTAAATTGCTCATTAATTTAATTTGTATATAATATTACTCTAGTTCTGTCTCAGAATTTCAAGTCTGAAAATAAAGTCTGTAAACGCTTTGCACGCACTTTTTGCATTCGCATCTTCACTTTCTCTCTTTTCAATATCCAAATATATATTAATTTTATTTTAAATGCAACAATTTTCAAGGGGGATTTCAAGTAACACGAGCAGACCTATTGTATAAATGTAAAAAAAGACAAACGTTGCTTCATTCTCACATTGCCTCTGAAGTATTATGAACGCAGCACACTCTTACATAACGCATAATGCATAAGAGAATCAAAATATAATCAATCAGAATCTTTCCTTTTTTTCTGTTTCATGAAAAAGAACAACTTTGATTGATTGATTTTCTCATGCATTATGCGTTATGCAAAAGTCTATGTCGTAACCCTTATATTGTCGCTAATCATACACAAAAACATTCAGTTTGCTGATGAAAACTATTTTAATCGTTTATATTTTTATTTTTTTCTTATAAATTCGTCAGTTATTTATCAGAAGTATCAAGTGAATTACTCCCGTTACATATGCTGCATACATATTCTGATATTGAATATCTGATGCTGAACTGGTTTTCGTGTATGGTTTCCGCAATGTAATGCTTACACAGGCGATGTGAGAGTATGCGCGCTGATTTCCAGACAGAAGAGTGTCGGATCAGTGAGTCAATACGTTGACCAGATCAGTGTTTGGCTACAACACGAACCATCCCTATGCTTGCTGCAAAAGGCCAAATTGTTTTGAACAATATTGTTTTGAACAATATTTATATTAAGCAAGTGACAATGTAAATAAATATAAATGTGAATGAATAAGTAATAAATAAGTATAAAAAGAAAAACTATACGTTTTGTTTTTTTACGATTTTCTCCAAAACGAAATAAAAACAAGTCTCTAAAGAATTCTTTTTTTTCTTAATTTATTAATTCTCTACACTCTTCCGAAATTTTAATTCGTTTAAATTCGCACCATGCTGTAAAGAGCATGCATTTTAAATACCGCGTGTATAAACAATATTAAAGTATCATATTAGATGGGTTGTATGAAATCATCGACAGTTATTTCACCGACAATGTTTTAATCGACACCATTTAATCGACATTGATTTCGCCAACAATATTTTAATTGATTGATATGATAAAATCACCGACAATATTTACATCGTCACTCGTTTTACCAATATTGACTTTACCTATACATATATACTATGTTTATATGTTATTTTCGCCGTTAATTTCACAACCGGTAATTTTCTAGCAAAAGAAATATATTAGATAAATGACACTACAAAGATATAACAATACAAATTATATGAAATTTTGATATGGTTCTTCACGATTAGACAAAACAATTTCTGTCCCACAGCATTGACAAACTCATTGTGCTTATTACGTAAAAGAATGAAACAACTATCATTATAGTTCCATTTAATATTTCTTTTGCGACAAAATTAGTGTAAAATATTAATTACTGGTTGTGAAATTTATACCGACGAAAATAGGGACTAAGGAATTTTTAATGGAAAATCGAGCTGTGCATGCGTGACATTCACCGTATCTGCAAATATATAAAAAATTCTTAATGACGTGCACATAGTCTACATACATATGTATATAGATAAATACAAAATCAATATCGGTAAAACAAGTGTTGACGTAAACATTGTCAGTGATTTCATCATGTCAGTCCATTAATATTGTCAGCGAAATCAATATCTGTCAAATGGTGTCGATTAAAACATTGTCAATGATTGTCGATACAGATTTCATACAAACCCCAACAATACATATTGTAGGAGGATATTTATCGTAAAAACATTAATTGTACATTGTAAAAAAAATGTATTGTGTGTAAAAAAATAAAATTTTATCGATATTCGAAACACAATCTCATGGTTACAACTTGGTGCATTCCCACTGCGCCTCGCGCAGTTCTTCAGAGAGATGCTCTATTTATGTTCAATTTATAATTGAAGAGATGGGCGGGATAAAGGTAATTCTACTTAGACTCTTTTTCCGACAATTATCTTTTTCATGTATTGATTTTAAAGTAGGAATTAAAATAGCGAATATTGAAATCAAAAAATGTTCGAATTTTTTAAATAATTCATATATAGGCAATGATGCAACAAATCCCCACGCATTAAACCGAAAATTGAAATGTATATTTAAAAAGATTTTATTTACGATATTTTACAATAAATGACATGCATTTGCATTAACATAAACGAAATATTACAAAAATACCTAATGAATACCTAAAAATGCAAAAATACTTAATGAATACTTAATAATGCCTTAAAATAGCTATGAAAAGTGAACAAATAAAACAAGTTACATGAGCAAATTATTTTAGTAAAGAATATATGAATATATTATATAACTTAATAAATTAGTGTTTTTATTTTACAATATTAAAATTCAGAGAATATTTATTTTCATGTTCTTATCAGTTTTCTTTCAATCTCTTAAATTTGGCATTAAATAATATTATCATGCTGGCAATATCTATAGTGTAAAAATACAAAATGAAACATTCCCGCGAATACGTAGTAGGAGAGTAATCTAAAATTTGATTGACCTCCCAGTATGCTACTGCTGTTATGCGCGTTTCATCTTGTCTTATTACACCACAACAATATCGCTAAATTATATCATAAAACGTATATGTATGATATATACGTAAGATATATTTGAGTTTTTTCAACAAATTATATGATTTTGTAATAATCCTTCAAAAAATACAATCAAAATTTTATTTACAATTACAATAATATAGATTTATTCAACTAATATCTGTTATTGTATTTTATTTAAACACATATATATATATATATAT